CATAGCAAGCCCCCTAGATCAATGCTGGACTGAATATCTACATCTCAACCAGTAAGGAAATGCTGGGTCACAACCAGTCAACTCTTTTATATTGCATAAAATTGCAGAAGGCCACTCCAAGAAGTAACACAGCAAACCAATTGTCATTTTACCCAGTAAGCATAGTTTCTAGGATCTCTTTATGTGGGTTTACTCTTCAAACAGAATGTTATCTGCTGTGATGATCCAGCTTTTACTACTCCCTCTAGAAGGTTACAATAACATTTGACATCCAGATCGAGGCACTTGTGTGAGTGCATGAGGACACTATTGACAATGACCTTGGGAGAATTGGTGTAAACCAAGACTGTCCTGAGCATGTCAGGATAAATGGTTACATTACCACTACATAACATTATTCAGAAAAACCATGTTCACAAATGTTCAGAAAGTAATGAATAACATCTCCTCCTCAAGAGTGGGCCTTTGAGAAGTCATATCTTTTAGGGAAGTGGTTGTTACTCTTTTCATATCACAGTTTGTGTTAGTGTTACTGTAGAACTTGGCCATTTCCAGTCTCACTGTGTGCCACACTTAACTTGATAGGCACAGTCAGGAAGAGATGATCTAAGAATGAGATGTGACTTTGTTACCAAAAAGAGGCCTCTGTTTAGGACATGTGGTACTTCTTTTTCAGAAAGTTCTGGCATGCCCAGGAATTGTTTACTAACAACCTTTATTACTGTTATAGTGGGTCATTCACTAACTTCTGTTATCCTGAAGAGGTAACAATAGGACCCTGATGGACCACTCCCCATTTTCTCTCCAAAACACAGACATGTATGCAGCTACTCACAATCCTTTAACCTCTCATCAACAAGAACAAGGAAAACTAGAACCATGAGGAAAATTAATTTGCTCATCCAACCAAAAGTGAAATCATAAATGACAGTCAACCATTGTGTTCCACACTGTTGCTTTGTCATTGGGGACTTTTAGGGGTCTAGAGCTGAAAGTAAATAAATAAGATTTCCTGAGATTTAATGGAGTAGGTTGAAGCCAGATCATGGAGTCAAGGTTTGTCTAAATACCAAGCTATTGGGAAGTTCATGGACACCAGCCTTTAACCAATATTCAGTCACATTGCCCTAAAACCATTCCAATAGGCTGACTTATCCTTCTTGATGCCAATTAAATATATGAAGACCTTTATATAGGGTAACCAATTACAATACTATGTATAGTAGAATAAAGAGTATTTCCACCTTTTCTTTCTGCCCTGTCATGTCACACTTCATTTCAGGAAGGGAAGCCACCATTGATATTATCTCAGGTCATAGACCATCAAAAACTCAAATTCAATTCCCTTATTTTCCATTATCTTTCAACTAACTCAGTACTAGCTCTGACTACACATATAGCAAAAATAAAAACCAAGTAAAAACTGCATAATGTCCTCTCAGTACTATGAGGTTTGGGGGAACATTTTCAACAGTAGTAACTAAGAATATATTAGCTCACTAATGTTAGTGCATTTTACTTCCATTCTTCCTGGAAAACCAGTGCAACTTTCACATGTCTAGCATTTCCTTACTGGTTGAGATGCAGATATTCTGTCCAGCATTTGTCTAGGGGGCTTGCTATGTTTCTCATCACGGTGGGACATCATTTTGAAATCTGCCTTTCCCCCAAATGTAGTAGAATTCAATATAATTAGAATAAATTAAAGAAATACTCCAATGAAAATATTTATTTTAATATAATCAGTCAGGGAAAATATAAAGTTGAAAGGGAAACAAAAAACCTATGCTATTGCTAATGATGAGTGAAGTCACTAAGTAAAAATTAAAGAGAGAAATGTCTAAAGGCTGAAATGAAACCCAAGTTAAATATAAGTCCACAAGGTAAAATCCTTACCTTATGGAGATGGAGGGGAGGGAGGAAGAGGGTTTGAGAAGTGATAGGTTGGGCAAAGGGCATAAAGAAATATCACAATTTGTAAGAATGAATATGGTAATAATAGATAAAAATTAAAATAAAAATAAAGCATGAATCTAACTTTCAATAACTATTATTTAAGTATGTCACCATACCATACTCTAGGAAGATACAAAAGCACATATGCCAAGGGCTCTCTGCTCTCAGTGATCTTACAATCAAGGAAAGGGAATGAGATAAAGAATAATATAAAATCCATATGTAACAGTGCAACCCTGCAATCTTACCTTATATGGTTGTCATATTTATACAGTGTTTAAAATTGTCTGGCACACAGTAGAAAGCACTATATAAAGTTATTAAGTAATGTAATGAATACACACACACACACACACACACACACACACACACACACACACACACATGCACCATAAGATAGACACAAAAAAAATGACATATGAAAATTATAGATAGATAACAAATGGTTGTAAAGATCTAGGACAATTTGATAAAGAAGGGAACATAGAATGAATGAGAAAATTGACAACAGAACTGTCAAAGGAAGTTAGTAATGCCAAAGAAAAAAGCATTAGCCCAAGCATGGAGTTGAGATAAACTGAGAAAGAAGTGAATAGACTCAGATGACAAGAGTGTAAGGTAGAAGATTGGGCTTTAAAAGTGAGTTAGGAACTAATAGGATGCAGAGAATGCTTTTGTAATATTTGTTAGCATTACAGTGTTTGGTGATAACAAAGAGAATCCAATCATTTTGAAGTCATCAACCAATCTTATCAGAGTCAGGTGTATAACTATGTAATGGTCACAAGGAGCTTTCATATACAACTTCAGTAATGATTATTGCTGTTACTCTGTTCTTAAAAGGAATGCCTGACAAAGTTGTAGCTTTTCACATTTAAGTTGACATATTTACTCTTGAAGTTGTTGGTTATAGATTTGGCAATCTTGTTAGCCGGCGATTTCGTAGAACTGAATCCCTCCTCCTCCTTTCCATATCAAGTCTATGGAGAAATTCCTTACGGAGAAGAAAAGGCTGACTTTATGTTCCTTCTCTTAGCGATGAAATTCACTCTCTGTGTTCTTTCTCTAACTCAGGCTTTTTCTGCAGGTAGATTTGGAGCTGAAGGCAGAGTCCATTACATCCATCTTTGTAGACCCAGTATCATATAGTAAATGCTTATGAATTATGGATTAGATTGGATTAACTGGATTGGATTGGACCAAAGTGAATAAGGAATAAAAAACACTCCCCCCCTTTTTTTTTATCGTTTTTACACAATTGTTTAGGTATAAAATGAAAAATACACAGACGTTTATTATGTATCTCAAGCAGTTCCACTCCACCATCAATTTTTACAAACTTCCTTGGATACAGACTACTGTAAACAGCCTATAGTTCAGCCAGATAGATTTGATTAGAAAACTTAAAGTGATTTCATCATGGTAGGCTGTTAAAATATAATGAATAAATTCCATCAAGTTGTCTAAGTTAAAGTAATACTAATTAAAATTGTAAAGCTTTAAATTAAACCTATATAAAAGTAGCTCACCATGTATATGTTGTCAGAACTTTTGTATCACAGGTTTAGAGACAAAGAAAACCTTCTAATAGAAGCAATGTATGAGATTTTTAGTGCAATTAGTTGATTTTAAGACACAGAAAAAAAACTAACTTATACTCCAAATTGATGTAATAACTAGATGAGTGAATTTATATATTTACATCTTAGAAAAAGGTCCTGGAGGTCTAAATAATATGGCACATTTCATTGTCAAGCCATTATTTGTACCAATTAGCAGTTTATTTACTTTAGACGGTCTCATAACAGAGGGATGCTCTGCAAACTTCTAGCTTTTTAATCAGTGCTGTTTAAATCCACACTCTGTGAACAGATGACAGTTCTAGTAGTTTCTTGAAAATGAAGTGCTGGGTATAGGTGTGTCACTTTCATCATTCATTTATTGTGTATAAAACATTTTAAAAAATAATGTAGAAGTAAGGTAGAAAAGGAGAAAAAACATATATATATATATGTATATATATATATGTATATTATTGTGTAAGATATCTTCCCAGTTACCTTCATATTTTACACAATGATAAGAAAAGTCATCTTCTCAAAAAAATTATATTTGCCTAATATATCTGAAATAATGGAAATGTTACTTGTATCGGAAGAAATTTCCTAAGAGTATTAGACATGTGATTCAACATAGAGTGCCCAGAAGCTGCATGGTTATACTTTTAGCTTTCATTGTTTGATGAAAATTATCCCTCCTGAGCTAGGTGACACTCATGGAGAAAGTGTATGTTCTCTCTATAGACTGTTCATCCTTTTGCTCTTTTCTTTGTGTCTCAGTGGATGTGGCTACGAAGTATTCTGTTGAACTGCTGCAATAATCTGTAAGAGGGAAACAATGTATTTTCCTTCTACACTTGTAAGATCATGGAGACTGATGATTTGAGGATTTTTCAAACATAAAACCACAGAGTAAGCCAGACATAAAGGGGACCATAGGAAATGAGCCCATTTATGTCAAACTCAAAAACAGGCACCACAATCTATGTATGGTCTTGTCACAATAGTGGTCACCCTTGGGAAGTTAGTGACCAGAAGGGGCCATGAGGGAGGCATCAGGGATCTGGTAAACAGTGTGTTTCTGAATGTAGATGCTGGTTATCTGAGTGGGGTCAGTTTGTGAGTATTCATCAGCTAATCATTTATCCTTTGGGTCTATGCTATACCTCAGTAAAAAGTCCAAAATAAAATAAACAAACAACAGGAATGAAAAGGATTCAGGTTTCTTTTTTCCCTGAATTCCAATAGTGTATTCTAAAGGTGCTCGTGTAAGTCACAGATCACCAAAGTTGTGTTGTCACAAATCATAAGACTATTTAGCAGCAGAACCAGGATTGGATGTTGGATCTTCTGGTTCCATGCCTCGTGTTTTGTTTTATTTTTTCAATCACGAGCTGCCTTAACCTCTAAGACCCATGACACAGCCTGCTGGCCAGAGGCCTGTTACCCTTCCTCTGTGGACTAACACCGTTTGCCATGTTACAGGCGAGTTGTGTGAGGAGAAGCTGGACTTCTGTGCGCAGGACTTGAACCCCTGCCAGCACGACTCCAAGTGCATCCTGACACCAAAAGGATACAAGTAAGTCAGAGGCTGCCTTCCAACTCACCATGTGGGGAGGAAACCTTTATTGTAGGAACTCCTCTTCCATCTTTAACTTCACACCTTTGCTCAGGATTAAAGGGATATATTTACTGGTGTCAGTGACACTTTTTAATAAATGTTTATATTTGGCATGGACTCTTTTTTGTTTTGTTTTGTTTTGTTTTTTAGTACTCTGAAGAAAAATAAAAGAGTGTTTCCTTTGTTCCATGACTCTTTCTGAGAAGTTGTTTATGGAATAAAGCAGCCTTTGAATATGCTTACTTAAGTTTACTGGAAGGCTAATGCAGTTAAATTTGTAATATCTACTAGGTGCTTTATTATCTGTAGGTAAGCCCATGGTAAAGTAGAAAATTTATTTTCATGTATCTGAAAATGTTGTGATGTGAAACAATATTTTGACTATCCAAGGTAGGAAACCATATGTCTCAGGTTGCCCTGCACAGTCCCCGTGTATGCCTGTTGTCTCACTGTAATGATTGGTAGTGCCTTGTCACCTCAAATGTGTCCTGTGTGGGATGGTTAAGCTCTGCAGTGATGCTAGGTAGAGGCCTCCCTTAAGTGAACTCAGAATTTCAAAATCATTTCTTTTTCCTACGCAGCAAAATTTCCGAAATATGTTTGGTATCAAATTACATGACTCCTTTTGCTGCAATCCTGAAGTATTTAAGGGTCTATCAACAGCAACCCTTCTTTTTAGAGCTGGCAGTGGTTTAGAAATCATCTGGTCCAACTTCTTCATTTTAAACCAGAGGAAACAATGGCCCTGAGAGGTTGGATGACTGCCCAAAGATCTCAAGGTTGTTTATTGGCAGAGCTGGAGCCAGGTTTCTTACTTTCCTGTTGGGTGATTTTTCTAATACACTTTACACCTCTAAGAAGTTTTATAGTTTGTTAATATTACAGTTGGTTTGGTACAGAAGATAGTCTGGATTCTTGGGTATGACAGAGACAAATTCAGGAGTTGACCTGTGCTTACATAGATAGTTAGCAAGCAGCATTATTTGTTTCTTCACCAAATATTCATTGAGTGCCTGCTGTGACCAGGGCACATAGAAAAAATACCATCTTACGTTTTTCTAATTCTTTATAACTATTCACTTCCACATATTTCATCTTATCAGTGAAATGATCCAAGTTTAATAGCTATAGCAGAGAATTGAAACTTAGTGTACTCAGGTCAGAAAAAGTTTTATAAGAGAAGATGGATTTAAGTTGGGGTTCTAGGATTTTGATATTTATCAAACAGATCTTTAGACATTCTAAGTCAGATGAGGGAGTGGGTCAACATCACCAGACCTCCAGTGCCTTTCAAAGGTCAGACTGAATTAAATATTTACTCTCAGACTTTCTTTCAACAATATTCTTTTGTTTCAATTTTGTTTAAAATCCAAAATTTTATTTTTTTTATTTTCATTTTTATTGGTTATGAATATTCATGGGATACAAAGCTGATTGTCACTACTCGTGACCAAGATGTGATGGCCAGATCCATACTGGCAGCATGTCGATCACCACAAATTGTGACTATACCCCATGTCCTCCACCAAATTATCCCCGACATCCCTCCCCATCCCCCTTTCACCACTCCACTTTGTATACCTAGGTCTGTTCTCTCCCTCTGCAAGTCCAATGCATCACTGTGGTCTTTCTTTCCTTCCTTCTTTCTTCCTTAGCTACCACTTGTGAGTGAGTACATGTGGTATTTTTCCCTCTGTGCTTTGCTTCTTTCACTCAACATAATTTTCTCCAAGCTCATCCATGTTGTTACAAATGGGAGAATTTCATTCTTTTTTTATGGCAGAGTAGTATTCCATGGTGTATATATACCACAGTTTCCTTATCCAATCATCTGATGATGGACAGTTAGGTTGGTTCCATATCTTGGTTATTGTGAACAGAGTTCTGATGAACATGGGAGTGCAGGTATCCCTTCGTTTGTGTATATACCCAGAAGTGGGATTAGAATATACAGATCCAGTTGCAGCACCTGCTGATTCCATTTGATGTCTTACTGGAAGTGAAAAGAATAGGTTTGATTCTGCTTTTTATTATATTTAAATTTATAGCCCTACACACACACAAAAAGTCTTATTAAAATTTTTACTTTGAACAAAATTCTGCATTATGTTTTATTCAACCAAACACTGTAGTGGTAAGTTATTTTAACTCCTGTTATCTTTCATCTGCCCACAGTTGAATTTGGCAAATTGATAGTACATCTCTTACATAACAATATCAGCATTTCTCAGAGAAATTAATAAGATGAATTTTACAGAACTGCTTATCTGCTAAACAGATTTCACAGGGATTTGTGCATTGTAATTATAAGATAAAGTATAATAACACTAAAAGGAAACCATTAAAAAGTAAGGGAGTTTTTCTTCAAAAAGTCTAATCCTTAATTAAATATCTTCTATTCCTATCATTCAGATTGCATACTCTTAAAAGTGCATTTTACTGGATTATGGATTAATGAGCTTTGAAACCTAATGTTTTCAACAGTAATTCGTGAGTTTGTTTTATAGCTGTGTGTAATTTAGCAGGAAACAGGTTAAGTCAAAGAATGTTCTGTTACTTCAGCCTTACAAATAACTACACTGTGGGACAGGTCATTGCAGAAAGAAAATGGACTTAAAACGCAAAAAATATGAAGCTGCTAAAGCAAATCTCTACTGACAAATGCTATTTGGACAAGTTGTACTGTTACTGCAACTTAATTTTCTTATTACTAAGCTAACAAAGCTGGTTCTACTTTTCTTGCTTTATTATATACCTCATATATCTCCTAAATTGCTCTGAGATATTTTTAGACCATGATATGCCATCACCAGTATTTTTAAGCATGCATCTTACTTACTCAGCTTTTGGACTTCTAAATAGTATATTTTATACTTTGCTTTCTTCCTCACTTTTTGTAAGATGGTAGAGTTGAGGGAAGGTGATAGGTTTTATTACAAAACAAACTTTAAGGGAGACTCTTATTTAATTTTTTTCTGTTTGTTTTGAAACTCTGTCTGAGGAGCAAAAGAAAGACAAAAATGTTGGTCATAATGTAACTCCAAATTCTAATGGGCTTGAAAGACAGTAGTTAGAAAGAATAGAATATAAAATAGCTCTTAGACAGACACTGTGGTGAATACATGGTTCTCTTATCTTTTACTTTGATTTCTTTTCTCAGATAAATAATTCAGGGTGTTTCAAAGCATTTCTTTTTTCTTTTAATGCTTGGCACTTCAGCAGCTCTGCTTGCATTAACATTGATGGAAGTCCTCCTCTCAGGCCTTGTCTATCTATTTGAGAATGTATATGGCCACTTAGGGTCCATTTAACTTGAGACTTGCTGTTTGCTTTGCTTTCTTGTGATTTAGCCTTAAAACCAAATGGCTGCAGAGCAAGCATGCTTATGTAGTGAGTTCATTTTATTTCTTAATTCATACATGTAGAGCTGAAAGTCCTTCACTCTTAGAGGGCATATACTCCCATTTGTTTTATTTCGTAAGCTCTCCAGTAACTCTTAAGTACTGATTTTCCATTTTCAGCAAAACCCTCGGCATTCAGTAATGCCACATTCATTTCGGTGTTTTTTATTATCTTATTCACTTAAATCCTAATAGCTTTGAAATATAAAAGTGGATAATTAATACAGATTAAACCATAAAGACTTTTACAGAATTATAAAGACATATATAGAACTATAAAAATACCATGCATTATATATAAAAACTATACTAATTACTTTACAGATAGTGTTTTTTGTTTAATCTTTTAGCAAAACTGTGAGGTAGAAATTATTATATACATGTTACAGATGAGAAAAGGAACACTTGGATTAACTTAGTCAAGATTACATACACTTTATGCTAAGTGAAATAAGCCAGACACAGAAAGACAAATACTGCATGATCTCACTTATATGTGGAATTTTTAAAAGTCAAACTCACGGAAACACAGAGCAGAAGAGTGGTTACCAGGGGTTAGGGATGGGTGAAGTGGGGGGATTTTGGTCAAAAGATACAAACTGTCAGTTATAAGATGAATAAATTCTGAAGACCTAATGTACCTCATGGTGACTACAGTTAATAGCAATGTACTGTATACTTGAAACTTGCTAAGAGAATAGATCTTAAATATTCTCACCAGAGGGGCCGGCCCAGTGGCCCACTGCTACAGTGCGCCACTTGAGAGTGCGGCAGCGCTCCCGCCGAGGGTTCGGATCCCACATACAGACCGGCCGCTCACTGGCTGAGCGAGGTGCGGGCGCAACACTGAGGGTTGCGATCCCGTTGCCGGTCCCGGTCTGGTACGGGCGCGACACTGAGGGTTGTGATCCGTTGCCGGTCACGAAAAAAGACAAAAAGGAAAAAAAAAAATATTCTCACCAGAAACGAAAAAAAGCTAACTATGCGATGTAAGGCATATGTTAATTAGCTTGACTGTGGTGATCATTTCACAGGGTGATACTATATCCAAGCCTCATATTATGCATCTTAAAAATATACAATTTTTATTTGTCAATAACACCTTAATAAATCTGGAAAGAAATAAAGTTGGTTTTTTAAAGGAAAAAAGACACATACATTTAAGGATAAAGCCAATATACAAACAAATGCAGTTTTATGTAACTACAAAGCCCAAATTCTGTTGCACTAAACCGTAGTTTCCTAGTCTACATGTTGTTTGAAAGTCAGTGAACCCTCTCTTAAACCCAAAACAAAACACTCATGGAACCCCAAAGTATAAACCTAATGAATCACAACAAGAGGGTGTTGGGGAAGGGGGAAGGACAGATGGAGTTTTCTGGAAGCCCCCTCCTCATCTATGGCCATACCTGTAGGGGTTCCATGGTCCCCTATAGGTCCACACCACATAGTTTGAAAACTGCTGCATGTGCCATACCACTTTTCCTCAGGCAGTTATAAAGTCCTGGGTCCTGGGTGTCATAGCTAGAGATTCCAGTGGCCAGCACTAGAGAACAGGTTTTAAAGGAAGCCCTGAGGAATTAACTATACAACACAGTGAAGTGGTTAGAAATCCAGGCTGTCTTGTCAGATTGCTTGGGTTCAATTCCTGGCTCTGGCACTTAGAAAATGCGTGTCCTTGGGCACCTCTGTCCTGTAGTTTCCTCCCCTGTTGAGTGGGGATAATGGGATCGCAGTCATAGAGCTGTGGAAAAGATTCAATAAATTCATATAAGCCAAGTGGTTAGAACAGGGCCTGGCACAGAGGAAGTTCTCAAAGAATGTCAACTGTATTATTACCACTGTCTCTTCACCATCAATGCAGGTGCAACCCTTCTGTCCCCCACTCCACCAGAGTAAAAGGCTTATTGATAAGCTGTCTCCCACTTCCCTTACTCCACTCCATTAGGTCAGTCCCGTTCTGCTGTAATGATTGTCTGGATTCATTGTGAATTACAGTATTCAATATCAACAGTTGTTTTTCTTAAAATTATATTTTGTTCCAATGCATCTAGTCTCTACTGGAAAACTTAATATGTGAATTATTTTTAAAAACTATTATTAATATTCTTAGTAAATTTTACAACATAGCACTTTTATCATCTCAAAAGTCAAATTAATTATACAGAATTGAAAATAAAGGATCATGTTGACAAAGTGGGGAGAAAGGAAAGAATTAATGAATGAGGGAAGGAAGGAATTAAAGAGAAGGAGGAAGGGGAAAATGGAGGAAAGAAGAGACCCTGTTGCAGTTTTTCTGTTCTTATTTGGATTGTGGATACTCACTGTTATCAAAGAGATAAAATCACCATTCCCTTGCTAGATCATAGCGAGAAACCTTGGAGTACTTTGCAGACCAGTGCTATTTTCTAGGCATCCATTAATTTGGGGACATTACAAGCCTATTCTAAATAAGTTTTTCAAAGAAGATGCCAGTTTTTCTAGATAAAATGCGACTGTTTTACTTATTTTGGCTCAGTTGAGTGTGAAACCATTTATCTGCTTGTTCCAACAGATGTGACTGCACCCCGGGATATATAGGCGAGCACTGCGACATTGACTTTGATGACTGCCAAGATAACAAGTGTAAAAATGGAGCCCACTGCACCGATGCAGTGAACGGCTACACGTGCACCTGCCCTGAAGGTTACAGGTAAAAGCAGACATACTCATTTATTTTTTGACTTAGGTCTTACATGACTTAATTCACATCGGCAATTAAGTAAAACTGAGTTAAAATATTTTTTTCTCCCTTTTCTTCAGTGGCTTGTTCTGTGAGTTTTCTCCACCCATGGTTCTCCCTCGCACCAGCCCCTGTGATAATTTTGATTGTCAGAATGGAGCTCAGTGCATCATCAGAATAAATGAGCCAATATGTCAGTGTTTGCCTGGCTACCAGGGAGAGAAGTGTGAGAAACTGGTCAGTGTGAATTTTGTAAACAAAGAGTCTTATCTTCAAATTCCTTCAGCCAAGGTTCTGCCTCAGACAAACATCACACTTCAGGTAAGAGTACTCTTCCTCTAGCAAGGGCTGATCTGATCATAAGCCCTATTCAGCTTCAAAGAATAAACATTCGTGGCCACTTGTGAATGATAGTATTTCTTAGACAGTTAATGACATTGTGACAGAAGCAGCTCCACATTATGTGGAAAGTTCAGTATTTCTTCTCTTCGACATTTGTATTTTCAAGGTGGAATGGAAACCAAGTATTTTTATACATTGTTTTATCCTATGAAAAAGAAAACACACAGCAACAAAATATGCCTCTTCTTCTTGTGCTTGGGTAGAGGCATTTTATTCATTTATTTTTATGGCTCTGCCACTCAGCCCCTGTGCAGGGGGAAGCTTTTCTTAGGAAACCTGCAGTTGAGAAGAGACAGATAAGACAGAACATCTGGATTCAGCCAGTACCTTTTGACTCTTCACACAGAACCTTGAAGAATTGACATGAAATTAACAAACTCAGATTTTAACTCTTTCCAACAAGTCACTGTGTACCTTTGAACAAGTTATTTAGACCCCTAAGGAAGAGGTTACACAAGAGCAGAGGTAAAAAAATGTAGGGTATGTGGGGCAAATTGGGGCTACATGTTTGTTTTAATCTGGTAAGCAAAATAGGGTAATATATTTTGAATTCATATGACTTTTGCTAGTTTTCCACAGACTCCACCCCTTCATATTTGGTTTAAGCTGACACTCAAATAAGGACCTGGAGGTTCTTTGAAGTCATGTGGAATGGGACTTTGGGAAGCAGACAGGACTTCCTTAAAAGTCTGTCTCCCTACACTCCAGTATTTGCTGCACTGAATAGTTATGAGAAGGACACACTGGTGTTCAGGCTTAAGTTCTAACTTTTACTTAACTAGTCCTTTAAAAGCCCAAAGAAAGGCCAAAGAGCAGGATAAAAACAGATTTTCCCCTGCACATGGCATCACTGTAAAGAATTTGTTGTTGTTCTTTTTTTAATATGGGATATAGAAATCAATCTTGCATAATATAGTCACATTTCACATATGCCAAAAATATAGCCCGTTAGAGGAGCAAAAAGAGCAGGTAAGTGAAAATCTCCAGAAAAGAAAGTTCTAAGCACATTCAACATGTTTATTTAAGTATTTGTTATTGTTCTTTTTAAATTTCTTTATGGATTTTAATTAGAACACATTAATTTAGGAACAGGTCACCTTTCAAGTAATAATTTCAGCATACATTATTTTCTCCTAGCCAAAGGGAAAAAATAAAACGTAGTTAAAACCTGTTCACCACAGTTAGTGGTCCCTTTTGTATGTGTCTGTGGAGGATGAAATGCATTTGGCTGACTACACATCCTAGTAACGTTAGTAATGTCAGGTTTATTTCCTACTAGATTGCCACCGATGAAGACAGTGGAATCCTCCTGTATAAGGGTGACAAAGACCATATCGCAGTTGAACTCTACCGGGGGCGTGTTCGGGCCAGCTACGACACAGGCTCTCACCCGGCTTCTGCCATTTACAGGTGAAGATCTCTCAGTTACTGGTAAAGGTGAAAACTATTGTTTAATGAAGAACTGCTTCTCTGTTGTTTTGTGACAGGGAGGGGAGGCAATAATTTGGCTACATCAAGCTTCATGATAAGGATATTGGTTAGGGGCCCAGCAAGATCAGGTGACATAGTCAAATTGGATAATTTGAGAGATTTATAAGGGGATGATTTACAGACGTGGCAGAGGTAGTACAATGACCTAGGGTTAGAAGTAAGGGATGCACTTCCTACCCCTATGCCTGAAGGATTACGGGGAGGAAGCAGTTATAGAAATGCATGCTCTGAAAAGGCTTTGTGGATAGGCCTGCCTGGCAAGAGCTGAGACCTTCCACAGAGGTTTGTATTCTGATCTTTTGGTGGAAACCAGGACTTGAAACACCCAACCTTACTCTCCTTCCTCCCCAAAATCTCCTACCTGTGCTTCCTATTGAACAAACCAGGTGCCAGAAAAAAAATGATTCTACCGATTCCAGTAATGTAGCTTGCACTCAAGCTTCCCAGGTCTCAGAACAGGGAGAAGGGCAGAGGGGAGCTGGAGAGAAACAAATGCAAGCTACCCAGCACTGCGAGTAACTTCAACTTACCATGCACACAACACACGTGTTTTGAGCACCTGCTGTGGGCCAGACACCATTCTAAGCTTTACAGAACAAAGGCCCTGTTCTTTTGGATGTTACACATAATAAGCAAATGGACTCACACCATATTGTGCTAGGTAATCTTGATCATTTATTTTAGAAGTTTTCTATTGTGTTATGATATTGATGATATATTGAAGATGTGAAAGGAGGGTATTTATGGAGCATAAATTTTGGTGCTTTTTGCTTCAGATTAACCATCAGAGCCCCTCCATTGGGTCTCAACACCAATTCTCTGTGCTTCTCCAATAAGTTTCTTAGTTAATTTCTTCACATGTAGAAATAATTGCCACTTTTTACAGACGGGGTCACAAACTCATATGCAGTTTTTCCAGGCAGATAACAAGCGAATTCAGTAGTTCAAGTGCAAGAAAAGAATATGCTCTCACCTTTTTATTTTTTAAAAGATCTAACTTTTTAGATAACTCTGTTACAAATAGCCTTCATGCTGGCAATATAACAGGAGTAATTGAGACTATAATGAACTAAAAGCAAATCTTGTCAAAGCAGAACTGGATGTACTCAGTTGTCCCTGAATGCTGCTGTGTGAAAATAAAGGCCCAGGGATTGCCAGAATTCTTGACTTTTTAAGGAAAGGCAGAAATCTGTTTTATAAAATTTTTTTAATGTAAAGTTTTCCCTCCTTTAAATATCAGTTTGCATTTGTTTTAACATCATATATGACAAAATGCATTGTAGACCAAATACACCTGACAATGAGTAAGTGGGTGTTGAATGGGACATAAGGTGGAGATCCTGACCTCCATGTCATTGAGGTTATTCTTGAATATATCAATGCACCTTAAATATTATTATTTTTTATTTAATATTATATTTACATATTATTTGATCCTTCATAGTAGTTCCGGGAAAGTAGGTGCCAATTGTAGCTATGAATGGAATTCACTAAGTCCTTTTGGTGATGAGCTAACCCACTTGGAATATTTGGAGCATGGAAACAAACACATAATGGTTGGTTTACAAGTGAAATACAATAGTTATTTCATCTCCAAATGGTCATGAATTAATGCGAACATTTTAGATATTACTAGGCTTTAAATTATATAAGCTCAATGTGTTTTAGCTCATAAAAGATTTCAAAAATTTGCAGTTCTTTTTTGTCTTTTTATTTTTTTATTTGTTTTATTTTATGAAATTAAGCAGCATGAAGTTCTTAGAAACTATAGTGAAGGTTCTTGAGTTGATTTATTAAAACTAGAATTCACATAAAATATAATAAAAATGTTTCTAGATAAGTTGTAGAAACCCAAGTGCATATATCCAAATGAGGACTTCCTATAAAGAGCTTTGTTTGAGTTTATATTTTCGCCTAACAAACCCTGTAACATTTACAAAAAGAATATCATGTTGCATCTTCTTCATTAGGAAGCACAAGTCCTTGTTCCTGCTGGCAGATCATCTAATAAAGATATATAGAGCGAGGACTGGAGCAAACATGGATTTAAATTAATTCTTGCCTTTTACTTTATGACGCACCAATCAAGAAAAGCTATTGCATTATTTTTTAGTGAAAGAAAAAAAGCAACAATTACCTAGAATTCAGATACATAGATATGTATATTATATATTAGATTAATTTAGATTAATTATATAGTAATACTATATTGTGAAAATTAATAATTATGTCAAAAAACAGGAAAGGAGGAAAGAAGGAAGCAAGGAAGGAAGGAAATGAGGAAGGTCTCTGTATGATATTGAAAGATTTCCAATTATATTGCTCAGTTAAAAAGAAAAAAAGTAAGATGTAACAGTATCAAAGGAGGGAAAACAAACTTACGTATTTGTGTTTCTATGTATTTGCATAACAAACCTAGACATAAAGAGGAAGGAGGACGTAGAAACAATGCTTGTGCACGAATGCCTTTTAATATTATTTTGATTTTTGAACCATTTGAATGTCATTATTACTCAGAATAAAATTGAAGTAATAGAAAAGAGCAAGGGCTCTAAAAGTAGTCTGCCTTGATTCAAGTTTCAGCTCTATGGCAAGTTGCATCATCTGTGGACCTTATTTGCTAAATAGGGATAATAAATAACACTGCCATCTTCATGGGATTGTGGTAAGAATTTTATAATTTGATACATGTAGAACATTCGGAGCAATGCATGGCAGGTAGTAAACAATGACAGTGGTTCATATTTTGAATTCAGAATGTCCAAAACTGAGTAAGTATTTCATGTGTTTCACCCAAATCTCTGTTCCCATTGCATTCCTTATTTTACTGAAAAGCATGACCAGCTTCTCGGGCATCACAATTTCATTTCCTTTACCTTAAATTTGCAATTTATCCCAAGTCTTACCTCTGCTCTGGCTGAGTTTCTGGCCTTTATCCAAAGGCCGGAAAATGCCAAGGTCTTTGTCTTTGCTCAGGCCCTAATTGGAGTGTGAAATCTCTGAAAGGTGCTACCGCTCCATCATTATAGTGAAATTCATCAATTAACATGTTTGCAATACATTACTTAAAATATTTTGTATTTCCCATACATTACTTAAAATATTTTGTTTGGTTGAATTAAATTTTCTATTCTTGATTGGATTTCCTTTATCATTATTAAAAGTACTCCACACTGATGTTTTAAAAGAAGGTATTGTACAGATTCTTATTTCAGATAATTTGTTAAGTTCAGTTTCATTGCCAAGATTTTATGTTATAGAAAATTTATTTTGGTAAAACATTGTTTTCTAAATTATGAATTATTTAATGTGCTATTGGAACATGCACATGAAAATAATTTTGTATATCAGTTATATCTTTTCAATTGCTTGGTTAATTTCAATATTGGGGCAAATGGATCATTTTTTGGTAAAATAAAACCTGGTAGAATTAGGTAAAAGTAAATATACATTAAGTTATTGTTTCTATAGGATATTTTGGGTTTAAAGAAATTCATTTTAGATGTCAGTTATTGTTTCAAATAAATCAGTAGACAGACAGTTATTTCATGGAATTATATCTAGGCTTATAATCTGCAGCCCTTCAAAGTGATTTCTTTTAATCTAGATAAGAAGAAACTGTTTTAGAAAGTTATTAATGAACAATACAGGCTTCTTTCTTCAGATTCAAATTAATGTTATTTTCCAAACCAGACAGTTTCTTTGGAAACATAGTCAACTACTATTTAAAAATTAGGACAGCAGTTAACATAACTTTAAGTGTGTTCAAGAAAACCCAAAAGGTAGTAATTGTTAGTAGGAATAAAGTAGCATGCACATTTTCTCATTGTATTTCCTACATCCTGAGAGAAGATTGTGGCTTCTTGTAGACCTGCTGGTAAAAGCACCTGGCATCTAGGCAGTGGTGTAGAGCAGTTGTTTGTCAAATAGCATGCCTCGGAATCTCCTGAAAGGTACATTAGAACACACATTGCTGGACACCACCAGTAGTTACTGACTCAGTAGGTCAAAAATTTGCAAGTTCCCTAATGAATTTGCTCAAATATTTTCCTTCTACAAAAGTTATTTATGAAAAAGATATACTTCTTTCTTTAGATTCAAATTAATGTCATTCTCCAAGCCAGATAGTGTCTTTGAAACAGTCAACTACTATTGAAAAATGAGGAAATCAGATGAACCACCTTACTAGTGTACAGGACTATACCATGCATCAATCAGTTTCCATATTTAGGGGACTTTTCAGGGGACTTTCTGCTGCCTGCTGGTAGATTTGGTTCGCTATATAGCTGCTGTATTGTGCAACTTACTCACTTACTTTCTTTTTTAATTTATCATTATACAGTGTAATTGATTTTCATGGCCCTTTACCCAGACTTACATTTTTTAAAAAAAAGAAAAGAAAGAAGAAACTCAAGAGAGACAGCTTCTGAGGCATTCAGTCTTATTGGAGAAGCAAATAGTAGACAGAATCTGTATGGTCTTATTTCCAAGATAAACATTCAGCCATTCTTGATATGCCATAGGGAAAAGTACCACCATTTACCAGCTTTATAACCTTGGACAAATTGCTTCACCTCTGTGCCTCAGTTTCCCCATCTCAACTATTGGAATTATGTCTGTTTTTCACGTATGGTTGTGAGACTTGGAAGTAATGAATGTAAAGCACTGGCGTAGTGTTTGGCACAGGGTAGGCTCTCAGTAACTGGGAATGCTGGTGGTTTATGGATACTTCTCATGCACAGATATCCAGATACCAAAGAATGAATACCCCCGTGAGCACTTTACTGCCTCACATTTGACTCTACAGTATGTTGAAGTGTGGAGTTCCCTTTCTATTTTATTGAATTTTATTTAAATTAATCTTCAAAATATGACTATATTGTATAATGTTGAATATACTAGTAATCCTGATTTGAGCATCACATATCGCACACAGGTATTGATATTCAACGCTGTGCCCCACAGATACATATAATCAATTATATTTCAGTAAAAAATACTCTTCAAAAGTACTGATTAAGATATAACATTACTTGATTAACTACTTTACAAAACTTCTGAAAAACTCTTATGCATATACATAAATATCTTTAATTTCATTTGGCTTCCTCTTCCTTTGATTTGAAGAGATAGGTAGGGACATTTTTTATTATCATCCCTCCTTCATAGATGAAGTATCTTCAGCCCAGAGATAACAAAATGAGATGACCAGTTGACTTTGTTTGGTTTCGGATTCCTATTTCACTGCATGGGATATGTCACCAGATAATGTAAAATTTTTAAGGCACGAAGCTGAAGCTCACATAAGCAAATATGAACTGTTTATCTTTATTAAACTACTGAAATACCTTAGGATTTATGGTTAAGATAGAAATATAAAAATGGCATTGTTAATGTGTCCTGCATAAGTAGAGTGGAAAAAAGAAAATCAGAGACATTTTAGAGCCCCTCTTTTCTTTTAAGCCCCAAATGTTTAAACTATTTTTCTGTAGCAAACCACAGACATAGTTGGGTAACTGCTTTGTTTTCATATATCTATTTATAGTTTAGAAATTCAAGAAAACCAAAGCTCAGGTAATAGATGAGCATAGTAAAACTAACATAATAATGGTAATGAATGCAATTTATGTTCCCAGTGGAAAAGCTCAAAGTTAAGTGGTTCACGTGCTACTTTTGTAAGTCATTGAATTTATAGTTCCCTAGGGAGTGGTGAACTAGCATTTATCAATACTTATCAGAACCCATAAGGATATTATATAGTACAAGTGGGTATGTAGGAAATGACTGTGGTAGACTGCAAAATCAATGATTTTGTGAAAATAGAATCTGAACCCAGTTTTTAAATTCTCATAGTTTATGTGCATTCTCATAACCTTCAAATTCCCACTATAATATTATGGCATATTTTTTGACCATTCAATGAGTTTTAGTAAATGCACCAAGTTGTGTTATCAACATATATGATATTTGCTATAAAACTTGATGCCTGGGCTATTTGAGAGAGAAATCATGTATTAAGGGCTTGTTAGTGGTGAGAACACATGCCATTTGTATAGGACTAGGTACTCTTTTTGATTGTAAAAGTGGCGCATAGTAATTAAGAGAGCATAGTAATTAAGAGTAACACCAGAGCTGAGCAGACTGGCTTCAAGTCTGTTAAGTCACTAATTGGTTGTGCTTTCTTGGGTACCATAAATGCCCAACTCTTGTTGTAAGGCATAAATGAGCAAATACATGTAAAAGTTCTTAGAACAGTACCTGACCCATAGTATGTGTTATATAATTCCTTGCTCTTATTATTTACATTGCTCTGATGAGAAAGAAAAGGTAGAGAAAATTTTCCTAAAGTCATACTAACCTAAGATCACAAATCTAACGAAAGCTAGGACAAGCTGAGCAAGACTTCTCTTGCAGCATTATCCTTCATGATACTGCCAATGAAAATTCCAATTTTATTTTTTTTACATAAAATGAATCTTTCAGAGATCCTATCTAAATATGCTTGAAGCCTATTATGTTATAACTATAATTTACCCAGTATCAATAAGAAAACTATATATGTTATTTCTAATACATTTCCTTTATATTTACTTAACATATATTTGTTGAGCATCTACAATTTATCAGACACCTTGCTGAATACATTAAGGAATACAGAAATAAATAATACATTATCCCTACTTTAATGTAGCTTACCATTAGCTGGAATTAAGGACATACTCAAAAAAAGTGAATAAAGGAGAGAATAAAGGAGCAGAATGTAAAGTGAGTTGATGATGAAACTACTTATCTCCAGCTTCCCAGCTGAAACACTGCATTAGGGTGTATAAAACTTTAAAGGTCTTAAGCCATCCAATTATATCGCATCAAACACCATCACTGACAGTGACATGCCTGCATTGATTGTCTAAGACCAATATGTGACCAAGAACCCATTCCTCAGTACATATGGGTCCTTTCTTTGTAATTTTAATGGGAAAGGGAGCTGCTTATTAATATTTAAAATCCAGTTAAGGTCAATGTCCATATAAAACCACTTAGAGGGTTGTAAATGACCACAAAGGAAAAAGCAATTGGCTTCTACCCTCTCTATGCATATCTGTATTTTAATATTTTACTTTAAAACTTTTAGTAACTTGAACAATATATGCCCCAAAGAGGCTATTATTTTTCTGCCAGTCTTTAACATTTTATTATAATTAATATTAAAAATAAAGCTAGGGCCGGCCCGGTGGCGCACTGCTACAGTGTGCCGCTTGGGAAGCGTGGCGGCGCTCCCGCCGAGGGTTCGGATCCCACATACAGACCGGCTGCTCACTGGCTGAGCGAGGGGCGGGTGCAGCGCCGAGGGTTGCGATCCCGTTGCCTTTCCCGGTCCGGTACGGGCGCGACACTGAGGGTTGCGATCCATTGCCAGTCACGAAAAAAGACAAAAAAAGGGGAAAAAAGAAAATAAAGCTAAATTAAATTGTTCCCTGAAGAAGAATCTGAAATAGTTTTACATTATTTATATAATGATGATACTCCTGGTGGTGGTGGTGCTGATGATGGTGCTCATATCTAACATTTAATTGGTTATGCTATGCATTTCTTAGAAAATCACTTTATATAGACCTCAAATTATCCATAGAAGGGAGAAATATTTATCGGCATTTACTAAGAGAAAACTGAAGTGTAGGGCCAGCCCGGTGGCGCACTGGATAAGTGCGCCGCTTGGGAAGCGCGGCGGCGCTCCCGCCCGAGGGGTCGGATCCCACATATGGACCGGTTCCCACTCACTGGCTGAGCGAGGCGCGGGAGCAACGCCAAGGGTTGCGATCCCGCTGCCAGTCCCCGGTTTGGTATGGGGGCAACACTGAGGGTTGCGATCCGTTGCCGGACACGGAAAAAGACAAAAGACAAAAAAAAAAAAAAAAAAAAAAAAAAAAAAAAAAAAAAAAAAAAAAAAAAAAAAAAAAAAAAACTGAAGTGTATTAGTAATCAAGTAACTTATCTAAGGCCAAACATCTAAAAAATGCAGGAACAGGATTCAAGTCCAGGATTATTCAACTTGAAAATCTATATGTTTAACCACTAGCTGATATTACTACTCAGAATAGCACCTTAGAAAAGAATCATAGTTAAGATCACTAACAGTTGGTATGCAACTTTATTTAGAAAGTAATTTTGTAGTCTATTGTTTCGTCTGCTGATATTAATGGTGTTAAGTGTTGGGATAGTTAAATTTGTAGGAGGCAAAACTATTGACTGACATATAAAATAATGTTTATTTTTGAAAGTTAATATCTAAGACGGGCTATCAGAGATCCCTGCACACATGAACTTTGCAGACCACTTAAGCCAAGAGAACTTCAGATACTTTCACATTTCTGTGGAATGGCTCATATTGCTCTCAAATCAAAAAACTTTTTATTCTCTGTCAGCAAATAATGGCATATGATTAGACTCCAGTGGTGGGAACCATGCAGAAACATTAATACATTTTTCTGTCATTTTCCAGGCTTGACCTTTTTGCAAATTTAAATATCAGTGCCTGGAATTTTAAGCAATTATCTCATGTAGGGAGTATTGGGCATTTACATGTAGGAATAGTCTTTAACATATGCTTTCATATTTCCATTTTTTTAACCTTTCTTCCAGTCAATATCCCAGTATGTTACGTCTTTAATATTCATTGATATTAAATTTTTGACCCCAACTTCCATTATGCTATACTTTGCCTAGTGAGAGGTGAGTACATCCCTGACACTGCACCCTGGACTGGTTCCTGCTTTCTTCTTTGGTCCTATTTCATTGGTTCTGTTTTCTGTTTTGCCCACTTTAACACCAGAGTTAAATTTGCAACCCAACTTCAAAGCCATATTCGTATAGCACCTGTTTACCAATTGCACCCAACTTCATCTTATTTTTAATCCTCGTCTTCCATTTACCTAGGTTTCTTAATCTTTTTGTTTTCGTCCAATTTATCAATTTCTATAAGACTTTTCAAGGTTTTTAGAAGGTGACAGTAATAATTGTGAGATCAGTCCCTTTAAATATATAGAAAAGAAACTGGACAACCACTGTCATGGCTAGACTCCCTAAATATGAATATTTTTCTTATTTAATCTGTTATTCCGACCACTCCACTGAGCACAGACTTCTTCACAGTAATATCACTTGATGGGTAGCTCCCTGAAAAATGCACAGAAAATAAGAGTATATTATCAATTAACAAATTTCAAAAAATGGAAAGATCTCACTAAGTTGGTACTTCTTGTATTTGTGTGTATGTTTGATTCTAACAAATCCTAATGTACAGTGTTATCAGTGTTCCCTGAATACCAGTGTCTTTAGAGTGCATTTGGAATAGGTTCAGGTTCCTTGTATTTTTAATACTATTTGGAGTAACAGGCAGTACCTTAGTAATTGGAACTTTCATGGCATTTTAAAGCAAATATGCACATTATCTTTTGTAATTTCTACATATTGAGAGAATGTGACTGGATAATAAAATATACTCATTTCCACTTCTCACCATGGGAGAACAACCTTATTTTGTATCCAGTTCCTGAGAAGTTAAAATTGATTGTGTCTCCTTGAAAATATCTTTTTTTTTTTTTTAATCAACTACTGGTCTTCATCTTCATTAAAGTTAAATAGAAGTGTTTTCCCCCAAGGAGCACTTATTGTAGTTTATATTTTAACTCTGTTTCTTTAATGCAAAGAAAATGGAAGGAGCAGCTAAGTTTTTTTTTGTTGTTGTTTTTTGTTTGTTTGTTTGTTTTCATTGCAGTGTGGAGACGATCAATGATGGAAACTTCCACATTGTGGAACTGCTTGCCCTGGATCAGAGTCTCTCCTTGTCTGTGGATGGAGGGAGCCCCAAAATCATCACCAACTTGTCAAAGCAGTCCACATTGAATTTTGACTCCCCACTCTACGTAGGAGGTAAGGGTTCTTCCAAATTCGGTGGGTCCCCAAACACTGTGATTCTCATCATAGACTAATTTTGAAATTATTGATGCCTGGCACCATGGTCATTGGCCAATAGTGTGATCAATCATTGGAAGATGGACAGCAAGGATAGAACAGAGAGGAGAGCTCTCTATGGGTGTTAAAGGACCGTTTTGTAATCCCTGGTCTATGTCTAATTAAATGTGTCCTTGGGATTAAAAAGGACATTAATATTTCTTTTGTGTCTATCAATTGCTATGTGGTGTACAAATCCTATATTTGATCTGGTCTATAGAAAAATAAAGTTGGTTGTAGGTCAAATGAGACAATGAAGAAAGTGTTGAAACAAGCTCGATGCAAACTGGGGAGTGGATGGCCCCACCCCAGCACCTTTATGGAGGTAAACCCGACCAGCTCGGTCAAATGTTACCATGCTGGAGTTTCCGCACTACCAGTTGCTCATTGATGTAGGTTATAGGATAATTAACAGTGAAGTTCAATGAATGAACGAATGAATGAAGAAATTAAGTGTATAAATTGTAACAGGGCGACAGGAAGTAGTTCTGTTTAGCTGAAACCCTAAGGTGAATGGACAAGAGAGAAGATTGTAAAGGTAGGTTAGGGCTTGGAATGATAGAGTGAAGACTCTGGACTTTATTTCTAAGCAACAAGAAGGCAAATGAGGAAACAGGGAAGGAACAGAAGTGTGAGCGAGGTTCTGAAGGAACCCAGAGCTAAAGACCCACAACAGAGAGAGAGCTCCCACACTGTAAGCATAGAATTTCCGGATTCAGACAAAGGAGCAAGAAAGCAGATGATTTTGAATTGAGATGCATTGAATTAAATTACATTGAATTGAGTTGAATTGACTGATAAAATTAACTCATTTTACAGATAAATAGATTAAAACTTCTGAAAAGGTCAATTTATCTGATGTCTTCACCATGACAGTATTTTCATGAAGTTCACATCATTTCCTAAGGAATCTCAGGATGCAACACATCTATCTTTACCCCTCAAGGTCTTCTCTGAAAGCATTTCTTAGAAGTGTTCTATAAGTCCAGAGCACTTTTATTTTTAGTAATTTCAGTAGTAGAATATCTTAACTTGATAAAGTTTGATTTTTGGGGGTTTTTTTTAGAAACAGTTCAAAATCTTTGGTTCAATTCTATAAATATTTATTTAGCACCCGCCACATGCTGGGAACTACATACAGAATAGAAAGTTGAAACAAAATATATAGCCTCTCTTCTGCTCCCAGGGAAGTGGGAAATGCAGTTGCATCTTCAAGTAACTGTAACGCATTGACATTAAAGTATCCTATATTAAGCCTATTAGGCAAGATGACTGATCTAATTGTTTCATGAGAATCACAACTATGAGACTCATTAAAAAACAAAAGCTTTCCATTCTTCAATGTACTCCAGTTAATAGGGTTGCTTTGGGATGGTTGAAGCACGTCACAAATGTACCTGTGATTTGAGAGACAAGAAATTATATTTATGGAGCACATACTATGTGCCCCACACAATGCTTCTTTTACCATCCTAATCCTCAGAGCCTTAAGAAGTAGCAATTATCTTCTATAATCTACAGTTCCTGAGGGACAGCCTCAAGGACTTTATGTAACTTGTCCAAGTTCACGAAGCTATTACATGGCAGACACCACATTTAAGTCCAAGTCTGTCTGACTCCAAAGTCACTTGCATCACCACTTCTTAACGTAAAACAGAAAGGGAAGTAATCTAAGTTTTGTGGCTTTTTGTGGTTTATTTTTGGACTTGTCCTTTGCTTGATTTTATCATGCTTTCATTAGAAACCACTTCAGTAAATCTTTTAAAACACCCTTAGAATATGATGCATAAGAATTTTTTTTTTTTTAAGTACGAATGGGATTGCTTAGGTCAGAACATTTTTTTTAAATGGGGAAAAAAACATTTTAAACTCCAAAATGAAAAGCACTAATCCTTCCGAGGGTGAAGGGCCTGGAAGAATCCAGACAGCAAGTCACCCAGGCCTGAAGGAAACTACTTCTACCCCAGTGCCACTGCCTGCAAACATACTGCACCCACTTCCTTCCAGCTCAGAGTGCAGTCTCAAGGGGGATTTGGATTTAAAAACATACAAGGTACCCACAATACCACAGTCTCGAATGCTGTATGGCAAAGAAAATGGAAGGAGGCAAAGGCATGAGAAGCTGAGTTAGCAAAGGAGAGTGAGGTAAACAAGTTTAAAAACAGGGACACTTCTCAAAGAGGACTTCCTGAAGGTGACGTGACCTGTCCCTCAGTGCCTTGCAGAAGTATTCCCTGACAAAACAGAGAGGAAGCTTAACCTAACTTAGGTTATCAATTCTCCATGATAGAGGTTTTAATTAACATGAACAATTTAATCTTTATATTTTTCTGTATAACAGTCCAACCAGAACACTCATTATGTAACAAGGCAAAAAAAAAAAAAAAAAAATCTAAGACCCACGCTTAGATATCCCTGCATATATCACAAATCCCTCAGTTTTGATAGTTGGTTGCTTTACCGTCATTTTGAAGCATGCAGAGCCTGTTAAGGCTAAAAGCTGTCTACTGTGTTATCTGTGGATGGATTGAATCCCAGCTAATGTGCATGGCATGTAGGAAAGGCTTACAAAACCTTCATGGATGTACTTCTGTTTATCAGTTAAGACCTAATTCCTTAGTCAAGCACACGAAAAGGAAGACTCAGAATAATTATTGATTTTCTTGTATCCTTTGAAAGTCAAATATATGTATGGTATATAAACATTTTTATTCATTAGCTACCATAATCAAAGTTGAACCTTTTATAATTGTTAGTTTGGGGACTGAAAGGAACACACTTGCTAATTGTTTCTCCCTGTTGAGGAACTTTGCCAATCTGTATTTCGTCTTGAGATGTGCACGTATGTGCATTATACCACCATCAAAATGAGCTATTAAAAATATCTTTGGAAAAAGTTCATTTTTAACCTAGGAAGAAAAGAACATAAATGTGTGGACACTGAAGTCCACATGTTTGTGATGGATGGAGATGATTAAATTAGAAAGTCTTACTCCAGAGCAAGGAATCCCTGTCACTAGTTCTCTCCTGGAAATGGTGAATTTCATCCTTTTGATGCTGCTCTGCAAAGCCACCCAGTTTCCAGAGCCAGAGGGACGTAGACTGTAAGCCTGTATACATGGAACTTCAAAGCTAAGACACCTATATACCTGTCAGTGTGACCATGGACCACCCAAATGAGAATCACCTGAGCTGTATGTTTGCACTGAGATTTCTGCACCTGTCTCCCTCCCTACTGGGTCAGAATCTCAGGGTGGGAGAGAGTGGGGCCTGGGAAGCTGCCTTCTGAACGCGCACTACTGGTGGTTCTTATATATGACAAGCTTGGGAACCTCTGCTCTGCCCATCTGCGGTGTCATAGATGAGAAAATTAAACACAAGAGGAGGTCTGGCCCCCAAATAGACTTGATCTCTAGCCTAGTGGTTTCGTACACCTAGCCGTCTGACTTCGGTGCCTGCTAAGACTCAAATAGGGCTCCTTGGAATGGGTAAGGGGACTGTGGCACAAGACAGGGCACAAAAGAGCGCGGTAGTTCTTGGTCTTTGTAATCAACAGCCCCTCTGGAGAGGAAGAGCCTGCATCTTCCCTAGCCTAGAACCTCCAGCCAGTAGCTCAGAGTCCAGGCACAGCTAGGACATGAGTCCTGGTGGGAAAAGTCAGCTGGTCTGGAGGCCTCTGACTCCCTCCCCTTACCCCACAGTGACCTGGATGGCTGCCGTACGGAGGACACTGGCCAGGAAATATTTCAGGGTCTGACTTAGGCCATGGAAAGATTCCTCAGGTTTGCCAAAATGAGGACTAATATATGACTGTCACTAGTAAAATGCATGTATACAAAAATGGCAAATACTCTGTTTTTGAAGTAATTTCTTTTGTAGTCCTTATTTCTTGAAATATAAGGGCTTCAAGCTCAATTAGCAAGAGAAAGAAATGATGTGAATGAGGTGCTGTCCTGATAAAGATCAGGGGAGAGTTGCTCAGGCACCGACGTCCTCGACTGTGCTCAGGAATACTGCCAGGGGTGAGCTGGAGTAGTTGCCAGCTTTGAATTTGGCAGGGTTGGGGTGAATGGCCACCCCAGCTCTCACCCTCTAAAACTTGGTGGACCAGACGCTGACTCCAGGATTGAGAAGGTTCGTCTCATCAGTCTGATTCTAACCAGAGCTTGCTGGGTGACACTGAGCCATGTCCATGGACTTGAGCCCTCTGGGCCCTGGCCCATTCATCTTTAAGATAAGGGGTGGAATTGGCCAGGGGATTTCAACTTGAGCTTTGTGGAGCTCTGAGCTTCCAGGGGGAAGAAGGGGTATCTAGAGAGGATTGGGGGTAGGAGGGGAATAGAGAGGAGGGAGCATTAATCTCTCCCCTCCCCTAATCTCGCCTTTAAGAATAGCAGCTCTGCTTTTAGGTTCCATGTAGAGTTTTGTTTGAAACAAACATAATATTAAAGATCAACCACCAATGAACTAGGTTCGTTATTCTAGCTGTGCATTAGAATTGCCTGGAGCATCTTCCAAAAACCAAAACAAAAACACACATCTCTTCTCCAGCCCTGCCCGAATATCCTGATTTAGTAGGCTTGGGGTGAGGTTCCAAGTATCATAATTTCTGGCTGAGGAGCCCCCAAAGAGCCTGACTCTGACCTGGCTCCCCTCTCCAGGCATGCCCGGCAAGAACAATGTGGCCGCTCTGCGCCAGGCCCCTGGGCAGAATGGCACCAGCTTCCATGGCTGTATCCGGAACCTTTACATCAACAGCGAGCTCCAGGACTTCCGCAAGGTGCCCATGCAAACAGGCATCCTGCCGGGCTGCGAGCCATGCCACAAGAAGGTGTGTGCCCACGGCACCTGCCAGCCCGGCAGCCAGTCGGGCTTCACCTGCGACTGCGAGGAAGGATGGACGGGGCCCCTCTGTGACCAGCGGACCAATGACCCCTGTCTTGGAAATAAGTAAGCTTGTGCTGCTTGGTAGTTGAACCCACACCTAAACCCTCAGAGCAAAATGGAAGGAGGAGAGGAAGGACGGGAGGGAGGGAGCTCAGCCCATTCGCACTCTGCCCCTCACATCCATCCAGTCTTTCTGCATTCCTGTCTTCCCTCCATTCATTCTTACCTCCTCCGCTGAATGCATTTCCGTCCCTGACTTCCCTTCCTCTGCCCCTGCAGATGTGTCCATGGCACCTGCTTGCCCATCAATGCCTTCTCCTACAGCTGTAAGTGCCTGGAGGGCCATGGAGGCGTCCTGTGCGATGAGGAGGAGGATCTGTTCAACCCCTGCCAGGCGATCAAGTGTAAGCACGGGAAGTGCAGGCTCTCTGGACTCGGGCAGCCCTACTGTGAATGCAGCAGCGGATACACGGGGGACGGCTGCGACCGAGGTGAGCCAGCTGCCTGCTCACAGCAAAGCAAGAAGGGGCACTGTCTTTGAAAAGAGAGCAAGAAAGCATGAAAGAAACAGAAGGGAGGAAGTGATAGGAGAACAACAGCTCTTTGCACTACTTGCAATGTTGCTATTGATTTATTTCAAGTGTTATGAAGGCACCAGATGTGAAATGTTCTAAACCTCCACTGCGAGTTTTTACACGGCCTTCAAATGTCTCCTCACAACTGAATTTGCCATGAAAACACTCCTTTTTACCTTATGTGTAGAAACACATTTACTTTACCCACCTCTTACCTTTACCTGTTATTCTCATCCATATCCAGTCATCCCTTGGTATCTGCAGGGGAGTTGGTTCTAGGACCCCTACAGGTACCAAAATCCACAAATGCGCTAGTCTCCTATATAAAACAGCATAGTATTTGCATATAACCTACACACATCCTCCTGTACTTTAAAGCATCTCTAGATGTCTTCCAGTACCTGATACAACGCCTGCACATCACTTTGTTTGCATGGATACAACGTAGTACTCGACATGCTGCAAATTCAAGTATTGCTTTTTGGAACTTTATGGAATTTTTTTTTTATTTCTGAATATTTTCTATCTGTGGATGGTTAGTTGAATCCATGGATGTGGGTTCCAAGAATACAGAGGGCTGACTGTATATCATTAATTTGTCTTCTGGTACAGAGAAGGTAGAAGTAATAATTTTGCTCCAGTTTTAGTACAAAATTACCTTTGACCTTAGAATCGACTGATTTATCACAGCAAATTATGCAGGTGAGAAGCATCGAAGCGGGCTGACTTTTTAGCCCATCTTCCTCCTCCTTTGTCCCTGTGATCAGAACACGCCTTGCCTCCAGCTGGCACGGACTTTGTTTTGTGTATCCGAGGGACGAGACAGGAGGAACGTGCCCATGGAAGCTTTTAGCAGATGTCTCTTTTTTGAACTACTTCATACTAGGGTAATTTATGACGTTAGTGGAATGTTACTTGTATTAAGTAACAGATTGGATAATATGAAACTCTAGGTCTAATAAATTAAATTACATACTCTCTGAAACTGTTCCCTGTGGTAAACAAAACCAGCTGTTAGTAGTGTAAAAACAGAAGATGTGTATTTTTTTTTCCTTTTTTTCTTTTGCAATAAAGGAAAAGATTTAGGAATCCAATTTTCTTGTCAGTGCAATAGCATTGTATTTATAGTGTACATATAAAGCATTCACTTTGCTGAAAATAAAGGCCCAAAAGAAGTATTTCTCAAAGAACGGCAGGAGATGCCACCAGCCAGTAATATGTAATGTAAGCATAACACTAAAAATAGCAGTTACCCAGGAGAAGTAAAGACAGCACCTCCTGAATTGAGTTGTGGATTCAGTCACTCTGCATGATTTACAGCGACTGTCCTTAAAACGCTTGTGTTTTTTTGTTCTTTTCTAGAAATCTCTTGTCGAGGGGAACGGATAAGAGATTATTACCAAAAGCAGCAGGGCTATGCCGCCTGCCAAACAACCAAGAAGGTCTCCCGCCTGGAATGCAGAGGTGGGTGTGCGGGAGGCCAGTGCTGCGGACCTCTGAGGAGCAAGCGACGGAAATACTCCTTTGAATGCACGGACGGGTCTTCTTTTGTGGACGAGGTCGAGAAGGTGGTGAAGTGTGGCTGTGCGAGGTGTGCGTCCTAAGCACGTCCCTGGCAGCTTTCGTCTCTGGAAAATGTTGTGTACTTCTTCACCTATGTTGGACAAATTCATGCTTCATAGTGGAAATATTTGAAATATATTGTAAAATACAGAACAGACTTATTTTTATTATGAGAATAAAAGACTTTTTTTTCTGCATTTGGAAAAAAAAAAAATGCTTGAACTAAAGCTTCCCCGAAGCAGGAGAAGTATGCAGAAAGATATACCTAGAGGCATTAGAACCACGATGGGAACCATTGCAACTCAGAGCCATCGTGGGAACATGCTGAAGATTAGCAGAAGCACAAACACAAAGGACAGACGAGCTACTGTGCAGTGGCGTGAGATTGCCCAGAACATAACTGTGTGCCCTTTGTCACATCCATGCAGTTCACTAGGCCACACCCAGCACCTGCCTGTGAAGGATGATACAAGGCAGGGGAATGGAACTCAAGAATTCACAGATAGAACAAAGGGGTGTGAGATATTTTGTGCAAAATACAGTGTCCTGAAGATCTGGGTTCCATTCATGAACAAACACGGGAGTGCTAAAATACATTTTATCTTCTTTTTCAATGTCAGCATGTCAGCAGAAGCAGCACACAAAAGTGTTTATCTACCATTTTCCAGTATTATTTTTTTTGTAATATAAATGATAAAGGAGATGATAAAGAACCAATAGATTATTGATAAATAAATTAGTAATAATATGAATTTTTTGTTTCTATGAGTTCTAAACAGCCCTATACAGTATTCAGTTTCAATGAGAAATATTTATTGTATCAAAGTACATTGTACTTAACATGTTAGGCCACCCTTTTGCTGTTTCTCGATGCTTTAATATATATTAATTTATAATTGTCCTGATATTTTTGTACTTTTTTCAAACTTAAAATCAGGATTTTCTTTCTTTCTTTTTTTTTTTTTTTTTTGTCAATAGTACTAACTTAGGGTGTTATCTTGGGATAAATATGTGTTGGTCTGTTTGTTTACCTTGACATCTGACCACTGGTGTCACTGACCCACTGGCCTTGTTCAGGACACCTGAAGAGAGTATGCAAAGTCCAAGAAAGGAAAATGCAAATCTGTATGTGAGATGGTTGTTGTAGAGAAAGAAGGGTCCCTCTGCAACTTGTCCTTAGAGAAAAGAAATGGAGTGTAGCAATCGCCACTAGAAGGTAGACCATTTACAAATTAATATTTCCTTGACTCTTTTTTTTTGCTCTTTTGTTGGGGGTGGGTGGGGAGAAAAAAGACTGTCATGTCAAGAACTGTGATTTTTTTTTTCCAAACAATAAAACTCCTTTATTACCTTAATGTTCCCATGTTAACATGTTTGCTGCTAAACTACGACGTAGAATTGATAATGATTTATAGTGGACTGTGCTCTTCCCTCATTAAAATCCCAGGGTGCCCTGTAAAGATGCAGATGTTTCTTCCCCAAAATTTTTTTACAAAGAAAATTAGATGTACATGTATAATTCTGTGTGCTTTGTCTTTCTCCAGACTAATATCAGTTACACTACTGATGTTTGTACATTAAACAGATATTTACTTCATTAACAGCTTGGTGGTTTTCTTAGAAATTGCAGGATAGTTAGAGGTCCCTCCTTAAGAATTTGTTCACTAGGGCCGGCCCGGTAGCGCACTGCTACAGTGCACCGCTTGAGAGCACGGTGGCGCTCCCGCCGAGTGTTCGGATCCCACATACAGACCGGTTCCCACTCACTGGCTGAGCGAGGGGCGGGCACAGCACCGAGGGTTGTGATCCCGTTGCCGGTCCCGGTCCGGTACGGGCGCGACACAGAGGGTTGCGGTCCGTTGCCGGACACGAAAAAAAGACAAAAAAAAAAAAAAAGGAAAAGAATTTGTTCACTAAAGCGATACAGAAAGAACAGGAAAGAAAACCTATCCCTGTATGTTGCCGGAGATTGGTTTGAGATTCATATATTGTCACATCTGGTGACTTTGAATGGCAACATAAAAGAGATGGGAGAACATAACTCTTTACTAGGAAAGAAGTATGTATTCAATTAATGTCTTTTAAAAAACTGTAAGGTGAAGTCTAACTGAGGTGAAGTGTTTTTGTTTTGTTCTTCTTTTCTTTCCCCCTCGAGTAGAACCAGATGGAAAACTAACAATGACAGAGTGTCATTCACCACTCTCAGGCAAGGGTTGGTAACATCAAGGTACACCATCGAGAAGAGGGAAACCACATTGGCTGGGCAGAGTATGTATACTCTCTCACCCTGATAATATTGCTTCACTTCTCTGTAAGAAAACCATGCACACATGTATACATGTGCATACACTCAAACACACACACCTCTCTCAGCATGGTCATTCAATCATTTATTCATTCTTGTTTAAAATGTTTTCATTTTAATTATATAAATATTATATAGCTATTGTAAAACATTTATTCCCATTGATTGCTTTTTTGCAATGGGTTTAAATCCTTCATTAAGCAAAGAAACATCTGCGAAGATGACATGCTTCAGATTTGTGTTTATAGGCATGTGTTATCTATATAGCCACTGATTTTTGAGTGCTTGTTATATGTCAGGTACTATGCTAAAGGCTTTGTATGAAATATTAATCTCTATAAAACTATGTGATTATTGCGCTCCTTTTTTACACATGCATACAGGGCTCATAAACAGAGGGGCTGGATTCCACCTCAGGCCTTTCAGAGTCTGTGTTCTAGTAATAAAGGCAGCAGTTCAGTAACCACTATGTCTATTAGGGGACTTTTAAGACTTTTCATGGCTCAGTAATTCTTCTCTATTAACGATGTATATTTAGAGTCTTTACATTTGTTGTTTCTGTCCTTTAAAAGGAAAAAAGTGAGGCCCTAGTAGCTTTCAGACTGTATTTTTCCTTCATCCTGCTTATAAAGGCACAATATAAAATGATGGCTGGGGACTGTTGCTGTGTGACAGGCTTTCACACATCAGCCCTTCTTTGAGAAAATCCAATAGCCAGATAATTACTAGCAATGAGATAAATTAAAGGCAATTATTCATGTTATAAAAGGTTCCTTACTAAAAGGTCCTTGGCTGTAGGATTCCTTTAAATAGGAAACTATTCTAGATCATGTCCAGCAGAATTTAGTACATTAAAACGAAAGACATTTTGCACATTTCAGAATCAAAACTATTGTGTAGAATAATGCACATTTGTAATCTGAGAAGATAAAGGGATTAAACATCCCTAACATGGTTACTTTTAAATTCTCACGATGATGGGCACTGTCAGGAAATGCCAGGGGAGTTTGACATTTGTTTGATTTAAAATGTGTTCATTGAATAAAAACCATCTCAATCTTTGGAATTTGTTTTCACCACAGATCTCCTGAAATTATTTCTAAGCAATATAGACTAACCTTTATTTTAGAATTGATCTGAGCATTTTCTTTTTTGGATGATTTGCTGTGTCAGCAGCAGATCTTTCCAGAGAAATGATTAAAAGACTGTTGAAATCGATTTAGGACTTAAAGATCTTGAGCTTTATGTTGTCATGTGCCTCATGTACTGACTATTATTTTAAAAGTAATGTTTGTGGGGGGAAAAAAGCTGTAAAACATATATGAGGCTTTATAGAAAGTTTCATAGAAAGTATATAAAGCTATATAAAATATATAAGCTATCTTCATTCTTAATCCTGTTTATGCAAAAGTCATTTAACAACAAATTCGTATTCCCTATCTCCCATCGTGTGCAAGAAATTATGCTAAACTTCTGATATACAATTTTAGATGAAACAGACATTGCTTTGGCCATTTTAGAGCTTACACTCTTATGCAGTTGGGGTTGAAGTTGAAGTGGGTAATGGATATTATATAAATGACTAAACTAATACAAAATTTCAGATTGTAGTAAGCACCCTGAAAGAAATTATGAGATACTTAAAAAAACTATAGCAAAGGGAGCCAATCAAATACGTATTGGGAAGTTAGAGAGTACCTCTGTGAGGCAGCGACATTTAAGTCACTTCATGAAAGATAAAGTAGGATCTAGGATGGAGGCAGAATGACGTCTGAGTAGGGATGGGGGATGTGAGTTGGGGTTCATGGGGAGAGAGCAGCCTGAGTGAAGGCCTGAGGAGAGAAAGGTCCCTTCTGTGGTCACAGAAGCAAAAGTGAGCATGGCAAAGTGAGGCATACATTTATTTTATGGGTATTATATAACAATGGCCATTTTCAGGCTTTTTTAACTCACTCCATACAGACCATATTTTTATATCGAGTATATTTTTGAAGTGAGCTTTCAAAATGTCCATAATAGAGGGGTTTTTATTTTAAATTAGCAACTAATTAGCTGTGCTTAATGTAGTTCTTCTTAGCTTCCAAATGAAGTATCTCTGAAGACATAGCAAATATGGATAATCATAATAGCACCAAAAATTAAGAATGTTTCCAGAATCTCAGAGCAATTTTCCTGAATTGAAAGGCTGATGAAGCTGGATTAAAAGACACAACTGTTGGAAACCCATGTGCATTCCTTCCTCTCTGTTTATATCAAAACCAGAGACTCAGGAAAAGAGTCAACTGGAAACCCAACAAAAATATATATATGAATTAAAAGTGTCACTTCGTGTGTGAGAGGGCTATTCCTCAAACTGCTGAGTCTTTCTTCACCTACAGGGATGCTCTAATTCTCAGAAGAAACCAAAAAAGTACAAAATACACTAGGGAAGACCAGTAGTGTTGCATGGAATCTTGAGAGGTATAGTCTCTAAAAATAAACTATTGTAGATGTGGGTTGAGTCTAGAAGAGCCATGGTAGCAATATATGCTTAGAACGGTGGGAGGGGGAAAGTACTTTATCAATTCAGAAAATCAAAAAACATTACATTATATTGACTCACTATTAGGCTAACAAAATGGTTTGAGCAAAAAGCATGGTGGTAGAAATAAACAGGCCATATTTGGGGGCAAGGGCTGAGAAGTTTGGAATTCTTTGGTGGGCAGTAGAGGTCTGTTAAGGTTGTCTAAGTAGAAGAAGTATTTGTCCAGACCTGTGCTATGGGGATTTTAGGTGATAGTAGAATGTAAAATGAATAGTTCAGGTAGTTATTTCTTAAGTCTCAAAAAGGTAAGAGCCAGAAATTAAAAGAAAAAAAAAAAAAAACTGACGAAAACTAAACAGCAAATGAATTAGAAGACACTGTATAGCTTCAAAAGAGATCGCAGTGGAAGAATAATAATTCATGATGATACTGGCTATGTTGGGCAATCAAGAGGGGGAAATCAAGTATAGCCCCTTGTTTTGAGCTTGTGTATTTGTTTCTGCTATTTCTAAAGCACAAGAATTGAAACCCAGGTTGTGGTTGCAGCATGATAATTGCATTGACCTAGAAACACCCTGAAGGATCACAGCTGCTGACCTGGGAGGCCCCAGCCTTCTGTCCTATGTCGAATAAAAATAATACATTCCTCTAAATCATGTCAAAAATATCTTTAATCAACTCCCACCGTAGGATAAAATCCAAAGTCTTTTGCATGGCATCCCAGATTCCTCACAAAGTGGCCCTCTCATATCAGCCTTTAATATGTATTCTTAAATTGAAAAATGCTAGGAAAGGATATTTTAAAGCAAATCATGGGCTGAAATGTCTAAATTGTAGATTCATCCCCATAGAGGCAGTAGTTGAAACCAAGAAAATGGGTAAGCTAGAGATATAACAATGAACTTGACCAGAGGAATAAGACCCAACTTTTATATAATCCTCACATTTCTGGTATGAAATGATCCCAGAATAAAGAAAAAGTAAGGGAGCAGTTTTAACAGAGCAATGAAGTAGTAGCTGGATAGCCATGGGTTAGGAATAATAATATGTCTGATAGCAAAAGCAGAAGAAAATTAAGATGACAATTGGAAAAGTTGGTGGGTCACAGGGTTGTT